AGGGAAAGGGACATTAAACATTTTTTCAGGGGAGAGAAGGAATTTGGCCTTGCCAAAACCTCATAGCTACTGTCTTAGTCTGTTTTATGCTGTTGTGACAGATTACCACAGACTAGTTCATTAATAATGAACAGAGGGCCAGTAGGTGGCAGGGTAGTTAAGATGCTGGACTCCCACATAGTTGACTGTCATTCGAGTCATGGATCCAGCAGCTTGAAAATCATGCCAGGTGCATGTGCATGCATGCCCAAAAGAGAAGGGATTCTGGTGGGGCCATCGCCCCAAAAATTAAAAAAAAAAAAAAAAAGTAATGAAATTTGTTAGCTCACAGCTCTGGAAGCTGGGAAGTCCAAAAAGGGACCATCATCTGGTGAGGGCCTTCTTCCTGTGCCATCCCCTGGTAGAAGGTGTAAGGATCAAGACAGAACAAGAGCAGGCTAAATGCGTACTTTTATAATGAACTCACTTCTGCTCTGATGGCATTAATTCACTCAGGAGGGCAGGGTGTCATGATGCAATTACCTCTCAAAGGTCCCATTTTTTAATACTGTCACAAAGGCAGTCAAAAGTCAACATGTGTTTTGGAGAGGGCACTGAAATATAATGCACAGGTTTTTTTTCATAATATATGTTTTCCATGAACTCTTTGAAGGCTTCCTCATATATGTATGACCTGTTTGTACACTTTTTATTCTGTTCTATTACTCTATTTGTGTAGTTTAATGATAGTGCAGCAGTCTTCATTACAATAGCTTTGTAGTTAGTAAGTTTTGAAATACAGATATTGTAATCATCTTCTTCTTTAAAGGAACCTGTTGTAATTTTGATAGGGATTGCATCAGTGTTTTAAGAGAAAATGGATATGAGTCTTCCCATCTATGAACATGTTATTTCTTTCCATTTGTTGAGATCATCTTTGACTTCTCTTAGTGGTGTTTTGTAGTTTTCATCATAAAGTTCTTACCCATCCTCCATTTGGTTTATTCCAAAGTGTTTTTCATTTTTTTTTAATGCTATTGTGAGTGGAAATTTCTTAAAATTTGATTTGATATCATCAGTTTGCTGATTTTTTTATTTTGAGTTCATTGCTTCCAGAGGTCCAAGTTCTTCCAACTCCAGCAAGGTGCATTTCTATTCAGTCCTGAAAGAAAGTGGAAGTTAGTTAAAATCAGTGATTTTTGCAGCATTCATTTTAGAATATACCTGTTCTGTTAATTAGGGGGTATTGGTATTATCAGTACTTGATTGGTGAATGTCATCCTCAGACCTTGTACCCAAAATTCAGCAGGTGTTTTTCTGAGACCATAAGGAAGACCATATCATTGTTGTATGCTTCTTTGTGGTTCTTCAGATAGAAAGCCTGTAGGATACAGAGTGGTTTAGTTTACATTTGTCTTTCACTCGATAAGTGAATGAAATAAAGTGGGAATAGTTTTGGGCTCTCAAAAATGGGAAGTTGAGCTAGTGGGGATTAAAGGAAAGAGGGTGAGGAAGAGCCTTGACAAGAAGAAAGTGACTGTGGTCTGTATTTAGGGTAATGCATGGCTGAGCTTGTCTGCCACCGCAAGTCTCAGATTTAGAAATAGTAGGGAAAAAATAAGCATTCACTTTGGGATGAGGGGTTTGTTTGCCCATGGCAGTAGAGAATCATATCAGATTTTAGAGTTAGGAACGGGCGTAATATTGATACCATTTTATTGATTGATCTTATCATTGAAACTTCTTGTAAAGTTGTAGTATCTGTTGTATTCCAGTGTTAAACCATAGACACATGGGCTGTGTTTCAATTTCTCATGGCTGCAAAAATGAACTACCATAAACTCAGTGGCTTAAAATAACAGAAATTGATTCTTTCACAGTTCTGGAAGCCCAAGCCTCAAATCAGTATAACTGGGCTGAATCCAAAGCATTGGCAGGGCTGCAGTCCGTCTGGAGGCTCTAGAGGAGGATCCCTTTCTTGTCTCTTCCAGCTGCTGGCAGCTCAGGCATCATTTGGCTTATGGCTATGTAACTCCAGTCTTGAAGCCAGCTTTTCAAATCCTTTTCTTCACAGTCTTCGCATCACCTTCTCCTCTGTGTTTGTCAAAGCTCACCTCTGCCCTTTTCTTGTAAGACCACGTCAATTGTACTTAGGGTGCACTTGGATAATCCAGTATAATCTTGCCATTTTAAAACCTTCAACTTAGTCCATCTGCAAATTCCTCTTTTCCAAATAAAGTACCATTTACAGTAGGACTCAGTATCGTTGGGGGCCATTATCAGCCTACTGCAGACTGTTTTTCCTTTTTAGACCTTCATTTAGTCTGGAAGTTGCTGTCAAAACAGATTGGACTGAAGCTTTTAACACCCAGATGACATACTTATTTTCTTGCTATAATTGCCATTTTTTAATGGAATGTATCCACTGAATGGATGTCATGAAATGATATTGAATTCTAGTAGCACAACAGAGTAGACTTAAAAGCCACAGATGGTGAGCTGTATTTCAAATAATAATCAGGAAAATAACTTACCTAAAGAGACTGAATTGTACTTGATTATCTTAGAACTGAAGAATGACTCATGCTAAAATTTAGTAATAGGTACCCAAGATCCAGGAACCCAAAACAAGTCTAACCCTTTACCACCCAGCAACACACAGAGAGGCAAACTTGTAGATGAGAGAGGAAAGGAGAATTTACTAGTAATTATACTATGTTGCATTCAATAACATTGGATCATACCAAATGTGTTATATAAATCTTGTTTACATGGTGTTAGAAGAAATCAGTCAGCTAGAAAACTTTCACACAGCTAACTCTACCTTGGCTTTACACATTGCTTGAATACTTTGGGGACTGCCAAGACCTCATCATGGGAGAAACGTCCACAAGCATCGTTTGATAAATCATTGCCAAAGAAGATGAAACAGTAAAGCCTTAGTTTCCTTTTCTTTTCTTTAGTCACTATGTTAATTACTTTAAATATCTACATGTAATATCTGATGGATTTAGGATAGTAAGACAAGTAGTTTGCCAAGAGAAAATGGAAGCCTAATTTTTCTTGTTTGCCATCTAATCTTTCTCCTGTGATGTTTCCCATTTCTTTGTAACTATTGGAGAGCTCTTGTTCTGCTAGGAAGGCTCATCAACAGTGTGATGGTCGCTGTAAAATGAACCTCCTGTTAAAGGCAGTAGTCCGTGGGACAGTTAAATGCATAAATACTGGGACCAGCAGGTGGCGTGGTGGTTAAGGCGCTGAACACTCCCACATGGCCAATACAGTTCGAGTCCCGAACCTGGTGGCTTGCTTTCTCACTTTCTCTCTCTCTCTTATTCTTTCTCTGTCTCTCTCTGGTCAAATTAAATGAATGAATGAATAAAGTTAGATCATTCTTTTTTAAAAATGCATAAATACTTCCCGAACCTTGGATTGAGACTTGAAGGTATTTGGCTTTTTATCGATTGCCACAACTTGCTGAAAGGCTCTGGCTTTTTTATCAGTTGCCATAGCTTAATGAAAGGCTCTGGCCTTTTGACCCTCAATAATAAAGGATATGGTACTTGTAATTTTTGGTGCTCTTCTGATGTTTATGAAGCAGTCCATGAAAGAGTTTAAATGATTGCACCATTAATTGATGAGTATGTGAACCAACCACATTGATGTCTCATGAGTTGCACATATAGCTGGCTGTCTTATTATAAAAACTTGAAAAAAAGGGTAAGAAACAACCAAAAATAACTATGCACAAAGAAAATCCCTAAGTTTACTTTTGGAATTAAATTATGTTCTGTAATATTTGATAAAACTTTCAAAGTAATTATTGGTTGAAAATTCCAGATTAATATTATCAAGTGTTTCCAAATTTATTTGAGAGTGGGGGGGAAAATAACATATCTTAATATCTGGTGCTCTCGCCGTGGATAATTGATGTGAATTTAGATATCTTTCTCTCATTTGTTTGTTGAGAGACTATGGAAAAGCAAATGACACTGATTGCTTCAGAGGGACAGTTAAATAAAGGATGGGAGAACCACAGAGAACGTAGAAGAAAAGGCAAGGCAAGGGTAGTACACGTGAGGCATGCTGTCAGCCACACTGCCATTTACATCAGCACTTAGAATTGAAGAGTTGGCACCAAACTTTCTGGTTTTGACCAGATATCATCAAGAAATCACTGCATAATGAAAACATTCTTAAAAATTTCTCAGAATTGGGGCTGACAGGTGGCATGGTGGTTAAGGGTGCTGGACTCCCACATGGCCTACCACAGTTCAAGTCCCAGACCTGGCAGCTTGCTCTCTCACTTTCTCTGTCTCTTTCTCTCTCACTCTGTCCCTCTCTGGCCAAATGAAAATAAATAAAATAATTCTTAAATTTTTTTTTCTCAGAATTAGAAAACTCACATAAAAAGGCTTTCCAATGAGTTAATTCATATTCAAATGTGTGATGGGTTCTTTGAAGTTGTTTCTTACAATTCTGGCCTAGAATAACCATTTTTTAATTAAAATCTATGTTTGAGGATTTTTAACTTTAAAATCTTGGGGCTAACGAAGATGATGAAAGGTGATACATTGCTATAATTGAAGACTTCTTACATTTTAAATTACGATTTTATATTAAGGAAAATCTGGTAACCCGTTATCCGCGCCAGCACACACTGCAAAGTTTGTGCTCTTCCACCATCAACCCTGCCCATCTGCACATACCTGCTTCTATCTGGGTTAGTCATCCTCTCTAGGTAAATTGTCCATGAGACCAGTTATTCCATGAGCAAATTATCCAGAAAATGCTGTCTTTGCACGTTGTGACAGATCATGTCACTGGTGGATTTATAGCCCCTCCAGTGGTCTAATTAACCTGGCAGTTGTCTCCCGTGCCCGACACTGCTGTCTCCTTGCCTCGGCATCTTAGTTTTCATCTCCTCATTACCTTCTCTCCTAACTACAGCTCGGATTTACTTTCTCTGTTCACCCTGCCCTCACTGAACCACTCACCACCCCCTTCTTTGTGATTGGCAGTACCATCCAGATAAACAGAGTGCAGATGTGCCAGCGGGCTCGGCGGAGGAATGTATACGGAAGTTCATCGAAGTTGATCAGGCGTGGAAAATTCTAGGGAATGAAGAGACGAAAAAAGAGTACGACCTGCAGCGGCGTGGTAGGTACTCGTGAGGAGGCAGCACCCGGGCAGCATTGGGAGTGCGGTCTGCAGCCATTTCTGGGAACATTTCTAGCACTTGCACCAAGTTATCATTGCCATCTTTGCTCCTCCCTCCAGCATTGTTTTTAATTATGCCCTGTTCTTCGTGGTGATTAGGTATGTTTCTTGTAAAACCATAAAAACCCCTTTTATAACTACTGAATATGTTTACACATTCCTAATTAATATGTTTTTAAACTTTTTTTGTTAAATTTAAAATTTTAATCACAGTACTTACAAGACTGTGTACTATATAAACGACACATCTAAAAGAAGATCTAGGATAACATCATAAAGCCCTCTGCTGTCCTTGAGCTCATTTCAGGCTAGATTTCATTATCATCTCCAAAACTATTCCTTATGAGAAGTTTATAAATGACCTTTTAGCAACCACATTACCTAAGCAGTTTTCAAAGTCATTTCTTTTATGTCTTTTAGAAAGTAGCTTCTTAAAACAGTGACAAACTGTTGTGAGAAAGAACAGGAGAAATGTAGGTCAGGCCTGTCACACATGGACTGTAGTTCCGTGAAGTGATGGGCTGTCTTTCAGCACTGGCCTTGGGACAGGAGTCCCTCAGCCTTCTATTTGAACCTTCAATATGCACCCAACATGCTAATGGGGAGAGTCAATAATCAGTTACAGCCTGTGGGGAAAACACTCCATTGCTCTCTCCAGTAACGCATCAGGCTCAGCATTGACTCAGACGTGTTGATAAAAACTCTGTCTCGGTAGTTGATTATTGAATCTCCTCCCTTCCCCTATACTGGCACGCCATCAGACCTCACCGAATGGTTTTAAGGCTCTTACTGCTAAGGTTTTGAAAATACCATTTGAGAAGCAAGGAATTATTTCTAAAACATAGGAACAAGTCAGTCAGTGTTTATAGAATACCCATATTTATTTTCAGAGGAAATTGTACTGATAAAGGTAGGTATTTCTTATAGGCAGTGTGAAAACACTGAATGAGCTACTGTTTATGTATTGGAGTATTTGATTTTTTGTCTTTTCCTTTTTATTTTCTTTTTGAGTATTTGTTTTAATAGTGACTTATTCATAGTGCTAAACCGCTTTAAGCCCCTCTACTTTTTTAAAACTGATGAGTTCACCTGTTAAATATTAAGACCCTGATGAGAGTACCCCCTTTGCAAAGAATTTCATTAATTTCCAATTACTTGAATATTAATGTTCTGTTTGGTGTGTGCATATATGAGATCTACTATATTTCTTTTGTAAATGTGTTTGTATTTTTGACAAAATAATGTATGAGTGACTTCACTTGAGGATAAGCTCTATCCTTAGATACATATTTTTCACCTTGGTTCACATAATGCAATTATCTTTTTTGAGAGATTTTTGCTATAGGGCATGTGCACTCAAAGAGACAGAGAGGGACAAAGAGACAGAAAGTGAGAAATCACCCCCTCCTCCCAGAGGGAATGGCCACACTGCAGTCCCTTCTCCATTCTCCTCTTGGGATTTTGGGCACATGCATGCACATGCCCGGCATGAGGTTTAAGACCGAGTCTGGGACTCGAACTATAGTTAACTGTGTGGGAGTCTGGCAACGTAACCATTACACCATTGCTGATCCCACATAATGTAATTTCTATGACAGTATTGGGACTGGCAGGTGGCATGGTGGTTTGGGCACTGGACTTCCACACGGGCAATTGTGGTTCAAGTCCTGGACCTGGCAGCTTGCTGTCTCACTTTTTCTTTCTCCCTCTCTTTGTCTTTCTCTGGTCAAATTAAAATAATAATAATAATAATGACAAATAAAATTAAATAAATGAATTATTATTTTTGAAAAAAAAAAGTATTGAAACTAATGCACAGGAATATGTTCTGTGTGAGAAGTCATCTGTGTTCCTGAAGCCACCAAGCTCTACTGGAGGTGATGATGCTTCACGGTGTTTCTTAACATCTTTACTAGTCTTCACTATGTGGGGTGCCAGTTTGCTTAAGATAAGACTGATTCACACAAAACTGTACCCTGAAGTGTGTAGGGTACGTATGTACTTTCAGTGTCACTCTGCATTTTTGCCAGTCCACAGCCTGTGTGCTATTAAGAGTGTATCAGTGAAATTCACCAGAAGCTTGCTGTCTAAAGAGAAAGGGGGTAGGGAGAACTCGAGAATCCGAAAATATTCTCTCTTACTAGGGTATAGGTGAAGTACATCAAAAATGGAAAGAAATAAGAAATCAGGTTTAAAGTGAGCTTAGATGAGCAAGAAGGTAGGTTTAAAGGATGTTCAATCAAAGAACTAATTATACCTCCAAGCCTTTGCTAAGTCTTTGGTATGGTTTTTTTTTTTTTTTTTTTTTTTTTTTTTTTTTTTTTTTTTTTTTTTTTTTTTTTTTTTTTTTTTTTTCATTTCATTTTAATCTTTGAGTCCTTGGTTTTAAACTTCCAGTGGAAGCATTTATGGCACACTGTATCATAGAGGACTTTTGTAGGTCATTGATAAGGTCACAAAGAAATGCAGATAGACTAAATGCAGTGAGAGTTGGGCCCGATTCATGATTAAATAAATAGCTCGGAATTTATACACTATTAGTTTGCTCAGCAAGTTTTTCGGGTGGGTAAGTAGTGAATCGATCTATTCTAGAACAAACGTAGTAATACAACTTTTTGTGACATTTTAGTACCTCATATCTAAGTACTAAATATTTCCTTGACCAGAAGCTCTAAAAACTGAAATTACTTCTTTTCCATTTTAAATGGAGATCTGCTGTTTAGATAAGTTGTGTCTACTCCAAATAGAACTTGCCACTTTTAAACCTTTTGCATAACCATTTTTCATAAATCTGCTATCATATTATTTCTTTCTAATACAGTTATTTTTTCTCCTTGATTCATCTTTAATAAATGGCTTCTCAAAAAAGAAAAAAGGAAATGGACTTGAACTTCTAACAGTGATGATTTAGATTTAATAAAAGGAAAACCTTTGAGAAGGATAATTTGTTAAAGACCAGGATAGGTTACCAAGAGAGGGAGAATTTGTTATAACCAGGTCAAAGCACTCTTTTTTTCTGGGTCACCCCCTGGAGACATGGAAATAGCTTTGTCATTCAGAGTTCTCTTTGCGTGTGGTGATAGTTCGTGGCCAACTTTCTTTTCATGGGGTGTGCTTCGGTATGTTTGCATGTGATACCCACCAGTAACTTGCTGTATAAAACAGGTTCGAGCTCTATAACATTTGGGAAGGAAGGTTGAGATGTTTTATTGTCTGGCATTGAATGCTTTCTCACATTTCACAGCTCAAAGATGGTGCTCGGTTGTAAGGAAAGCCTCATCCATATTGTCCACACCATATATTTTCTAAAAAATAATTTACAAGAGTCCCTGACATTCATATTTCTTCTGCTTCTCAAAAGGAATTGTCAGATAGGTTCTTCCTAATAAAGAAAAAGTAATTGCGTAGGGCAGATAACCTAAAGTCCATACAGATTTTTTCTCCCACATTTCTACTTCTGTATTCTCAGTTGACGTTTTAGGCAGTGGTGGCCAGGCCAAAGCAAAGCAGATCTTAAAAAAACAGGATGAGTAATGTTCAGTTCCCAGAGATGATACATTTTGAAAGCAATGTTAACTAGTGAATTTAATCAATTAGTTCCAGCTGGCATATTTACCTTACTGTTTCTAAGGATGCTTCCAAAGGCTGCTTCTAGTGTTCCCCTGAAAGGCACATCGGTATTCAAGACTAGGCTTTGCATTTCACCCAGAGGAGCATTTGGGAAAACCCTTTCAGGATTTAGAAAACGTTCACATGAATAATATTTGACTAGATTTTGGTGCCTTTGTAACTCTCATGCAGAGTTGTCTCATATATTGAGCATATTAGAAAGCATCGCAAGTATACACATCGTGAGAAAATAATGGGGCTCGTGATTCAGTAGCTTTGTGATGTGACGGTCACAGATCTTAGATGTCTCAATGGCTCCATGGAGTCACAACGCTTAGGAGTCATTACTTCTTTCTGACTTGAAGAGAAACAAACATTTCAAATATGGCAAATCAGATTAAAGAATGTTTTTTAGACTAAGTAAAGTTGTGTTTGAGATCTCTGTTTTTGCATTATCTTATGTTGAGATATGCCTTGATTCTCTGTTAGTGAATTAATCTGGTAATGTTGAACCTCCACTCTATCCAATTGGCCAAGTACTTGGGTATCTGAAACAGCCTAGCTCAGGAAGGGGTTGGACCAGACATCAGAAAGTGAGCGCGTGCCTTCCCTCAAAACCCCAATCACCTACTCTTCCCCAGCTAGAACAATAGTAGTTTCTGGTGGTGGTGTATACAGTTCACTTGGCCCCCTTATCAGGCTAGTATTTGAGACTAGAAGATAAGCACACGAATCTTGGACCAAATGAGGAACACATCCCACCCGCGTATGTGGCAGGTCACTAATCAGTATATGCCATCTCAAACACAGCTGGGATTCTTCCTGAAAAGCATGTTACTATTAAAGACTGATAAACTCCTTGAGAAGGGAAATATTTGAAAGAAAGGTAATATAAATTTGGGTTAACTATCATGAGTAATGACTTCAGGCCAGCAGATATTTGTGTAAATTATGTCCTAAAGCTGACCTTTGTGAAATCCTTGAATTAGTCAGATTAGGGTTTCCACTTATGGTCATATTAGTATTTCCATTTGATTCTAGGAATTTCAAAATTGTCTGTAAAAATTTGCTTCAGGTAAAACTTGAAGATAAGCATCAGGGGGTATGTTTTTTTGATGACCGTTTCTGGGAAAAGGGAGGATGTGAAATGATGCAGAAAATCTATCTAGACAGTTAGGCACTGGCATTATCTGAGAGGGAGGCGAGTGTACAGATAAAACTTTCTGCGAAGACCCCCCCACTTCATCTTGTTTGTCACAAGAAGGCAACTACTCACATTGTTTTTTTGCTTTTACTTGAATGTAGGTAACTTTCTTCTGCAATTAAAACAT